GAGTATTATGTTACAATATGGAAACTAATACTTGTCTCACAAGAGATCTCTGTTTGGTGTCTGTGATATGCCTTTTGGGAGCTAAAATGATATTTGAGTGTGGGCCATATCTGGAAGGTTTGGTTTGAATTTCTGCTTCTTCTAGGCTTCTATATGGAAGTCAAGCTACCTGAGTTTTGTAAATCATAAAATTTGAAAAGTATATAATATAATACTTGAAGATCAGAGGAGTAAGTTCTGATAAAGATCATTTGTGTTTTCTTCTCTCCATAAAGCATATTAAATTCATGATCTTTACCATATTATAAGAATATAGGAATCCCCACACACCAGTCCAAATATCATGCAAAAATTTAGTTTGCAAGCTGTTCACTTAGCCTTGTGGGTAAAATCAGAAAAATTTAAGAACCTAGAATATAGCAAAACAATTTGAAACAGCAATTGAACAATATATAGTGACAATTTAGAATATAATGTTCAAGATAACAGTTACTCTTTATATGTACATCATTAATTACAGGTGCCTGGATTTAAGGATTTATAATGTAACTTCAACCTAAAAAGGAACACTTAGTAGAAAATGGGAAAATCCAAAATGCAATTGTAATATTTTTCCATTCACTCTTTCCCTCGACACAGCTAGTAAAAACCAATATTGTTCCCTTTCTAACTGATTAATAATTTACATATGTTCCTCTCTCATAAATTAACAAGGAAGAAATAAAATTAATAAATCATAAATATATTATTATAAATTTATTTATTTCATTAGTCCTGGTTACTGTTTACACCAGGTGAACACAATATACTTACCAGAAAATTTAAATCTGTGCTTAATGAAAGTCACATCACTCAAAGTCTGTTTGAAAAAATAAATAAATAAATAAAAAAGAAAAAAAATCCATACACTAATCCACTGTTAAGTATAAGCTGTTGGCTAAAATATATATATATATATATATAGAGATAGATACAAAGTAGATAAAACTACCTTTCCTGATTTGAAGCATTTCATTTCAAACTGTTCTTTTCTTTTAACTAAATGAATGTTACTGTGTTTGGACCATGACTAAGTAACATAGGTTTGGTAATCCCATATATATATACAGACTTCACATCTGCTATCATAAATTCTCTCCAATTAAGTTCATACATATGTGACAGAAATATATAGCGAAGTACATAATATCCAAATAGTGATAAAACTGCTTAATAAGTTGCCATGCGAATTAAAATACTTTCTCGGGAAGATAAGATATAAAAAGAAAAAGAAAAAATCTGGAAGGCTAACTAATGCTATTCTTACATATTTAAGCAGTACTTCCAAATTCATTGATCTCATCTCTTTCTCAGTCAACGAAATTTCCCAAACCTTATTTATTTTCTTGAAGTACCTGCATGGAACTGACTTCATTAATCAATTACCTATTTAACAGAAAAAAAAAACACAAAATCTACAGTCATGATAAAGTATAATCACATCAAAGAAAGTGTAGTTTTATTTCAGTTTAAAAATCTATTCATAAAATTTACTGAAGTACTATATTTATACTTCAAGACCTATTACATCTTCAATTTTCACCTGACCTTGTATAAAAGGTGGGGAAAGAAAACGTACATGTAATTATGTAATTGTACACAGGAAATGCAAATAAGAACATTTGGTGCTTTTCAGGATTCCCCATGTATTAAAAAATGAAAATAAATGAAAAAAAAAAAAAAAAACCTTTTCTGTATATTCTAGGCACTAAAATCACTTGGATCAACCAAGAAAAAAACTAAAAAATATACATATTCCATGAGTACAAATAAATATTTAGTTAATCAGAGACTTTGATAGCAGTTAAGCAGACATCTCTCCTATATGGCAAACATGCTGTGAAGCCTGCTCCACCTACAAAACTGATACCTCTCTTGTTTACCTACAGCAACTGGATATGTACTAACATAAAACTGTAGACATACAATGCAGTGGCATCTTAATTATATTGGGTAACCAGACCTTGTTCCATAGTTTTTAAGACTTATTTCTCTATAGTAAAATGATGAAGCAGGTTTACTGGAATTTATGTTAATAACTTATATAACTGGAGATACACAAATTAACTAGGGCTGACACACCCTTACAGCATACAGTCCTTCCACATGGAGGAGAAACAAAAGAAAAAAGTCTTGGGTACAAAGGTGCTTGTATCTTCTAGACCTTTTTAATCTTAAATTAACAATTTCAATACATCTAAATTTACCTGGCAGTAACATGGTGTCGAAGCACCCAACTTCACTTTTCAATATGATGCATTTTAACATCTATACATACTAAGTGACACTACAAGTGTAAACTCTTAGGCAGTGGATTAAATCAACATCTACCACCTTCATAGGAAATCATTCATTTACAAACTCCTCTCTCACTCGCACTCTAAACCTCTCACACTTCGACAACAAACTTGGCTAAGATTCTGGATTGGATTAGCAAAATCAATGTTCCATACATGGCATACATTGGCAATGAGACATAAAAAAAAAATACATAGAGAGCTATGTAGACACAGTCAGCCATCTTCAGTACTGTCCTTAAAATCATATGATTGCCAAAATTAGCTACTGATCATACACTTCAGAAGAAAGTGAAAAAAGAAATGTCTATAAAGATGAAACTTCATAAAAAAAAATAATAATAATGTCAACAGATTAAAAACAAATTTATATATTAGTATTACTCTATTGTTTTTTTTTACATTACTGTACTGAAAAGAACAAGAGACCTGACTACATGAGAGAATAACTACTGTTTGTTGTGAAATGAAGTATGATGGAGAAAGTTGAGAAATCCTGGACAATCTGACTTATCAGATACAGATGACAAAATGATGATAATGAAACATACATGGTAATTACAGAAATGGGCAAGTAAGAAGTGAATCAAATTTAAAAATGCAGGATCAAGATGTATTAACCCATTGGCCCCAGGAACATTTACTGTTCACTCTTGTTTTGTTAACTTTGTTTACACACAGATGGCTACATAAGCATTTACTTATTAAACCTACTAAACTTCACCTGTTTACCCCATTCCTTAAATTTTCAGAGAAAGTTTTTATTTCTAAAACTATCATTATTATTGTAATGTTATTAACAATAATAATAGTAAAATAACTTTTATTTAAAAAATGTACAGGAACAGGGTAAATAAGCAAGATATGGAAGGCTTTATAATAAACCCCTTGGTGACTAGGCACTTGTGGAGCCATATGCATTTCAACAAAATTAATAAGTTCAAACCACAGTGAACATGGCATGTAAAGACAACAGGTTAAGAATCAGAAAAAAAAAAAAAAAAAATGCTATTTATACGCAAGAATGAAAAGGAGGACCGGACGGTGAATTCCAGTCTCGTGAATAAACTGACGTGAAAGGGTGCACTTCTGCAGCTTTTTCTTTCTTTCTTTTTCTTTCTTTCTTTCTTTTTTTGTGCAATCTAGTCACCCCCCAATCGTCAGCTGATGTACGCGGACTAACAGAAAAATCACTTCAAACAAACCCATTGTTAAAGATGCCTAAAATGGAAGCTGCAACAATTTTACAAACACTGTCCTAGGGTCATTGGGATTATTTCATCAATATCAAACTTAATCATTATATCTACATTCTCAGTCCTTACAAATACAAATTAGTGACAATGTGAGAACACCTCATATACATTTTTTTTAGCTTTTGCATTTTTGTTTTCTTTTTTTTGTTTTTGAATGGTGTAAATCACACAATTCATCCTCATATCACAGCCACTTTATATTCAGCTATTTTACATATCAGATTCCACACTTGAAAGAACTTGAAGAAGTTCCTATTTAAGAAAAATATTAAAAGACAATTTCCTAAAAGTTTCATGAAAGTTCATTGAAGTAGCATTTTTTTCCGACTCGCTATTGATTTGAATCATCTAATTAAAAAAGAAAAGAAATAAAACAAAACAAAAAAATTTGTCTCTTCAAAAGCAGTTACACCTGCGTCGTGTGACACAGTCTCCTACCATTTCCTTCTAACCAACATATTACACTATATACAAGATTTCTAGTTATCTTCCCTCAGGCTCCTTTTACGTACTTCAACATTCTTATAGAGAAATTAATTCTTTTTTTCCCTAAAGGTGGACTTAATTGTAACAAAACAATGCCTCCCTTGTTCACCTTTCACATTCCTCGATACAAGACACGGCCTACAAAGCAAGAGCTCACCTGACAAATTTGCAAGTTGGTTGCGTGGAATGGTCACGTCTAGCTAGTCATTTCTATCGTTAAGGGATGATTAGCAAGTCACTGGGGGTTTTGATATATACAAAAAAATAAAAATAAATAAAATAAAAAAAATAAAAAGTAAATGGACTTGTGAAACTGGATTTAAAAGTGGGACATTATTCTGAACAATTATAAAAAATAATAATAATAATAATATCAAAAAAGAGAAAAACAATAATTTAAACATTAAAAAATATATACAAAGTTTATAAAACATGTACCAAGAAATAAGAAATTGGTGCACACAGTATCAACTGCTTTTGGCGGTCAAGTGTTCGAGTACAAACTCAAGGCTAAAATTGTCTGGCAGTTTAGATCACAAACATCTGTCACTGCATTTAACGGACTTATGGTATCACTTCCTACTAATTACAGAAAATAATGACACCAATCGAATTCCATGCAAATCAATCTTCATTAAAAATACTAGTGAAGGTGACTCCTCTTTCATTAAAATCAACACTAATGCTTTCAGTGCAAAAGCATCTTCATTGTTGTGATAAGATGTTCTAAAAATGGTTGCTAAATACAATAAAATTGGATGAATGGGAGAAACTATAATACAACCATTATGTGAATAATCCTCATCAATGCTTTGATGAATACTTTTTATGATGAAGTCAAATAAGATATTAAAATATGAATCCTACATACAATTACTACAGATGAAAGGAAGAAAGAGTGAGAAAAGATCTGTCTATCTGTAGTACGTCTTAGAAAATGCCTAAACAAGTATGGAACAGCATGTTACAAATTGAAGAGCCAGTGGGCATTTCTCCATCAGTTGCATTCATCATTAGCAAAAATGTATCAAACCTTTCACCTCTTTTTTTTTTTTTTTTCATTCCTTCATACACATGCATACGTTCAGCACACACGCACATACGCACACGTGCACACCCAGGCACTCAAGCACAAAATGCACACAAAATATTACACTACCTAAAACATTTTTTTTCTTTTCATTACAAATTTACATCTAGGACTTACAGCCCAAATCCTAACTCTAAAAAAAAAAAAGAAAAAAAAGAAATGTTTCTTGGCATTAACATGACTCCTATAATCTGATATATGGGTGTTAGATTTGTTACCAAGCATCAAAAAATACAGAGGAGGCTAGATAGTCCAAACAACTGACTGAGTAAAACACACAAGTGGCACCTCTGGAATTGATGCTACTTTTTTTTTTCCTTTTTTTTTTTTACAAGTCAATGTTAACAAGGCAACGTGATGCATTTGTACATTATCATAACGAGACCCTCCCCCTAGCAATTACACCCTCTTCAAACAAAGCCGGAAAGACACACACACACACACAAAAAAAAAAGACTAACCAAAACAATGATAACTATAATAATGATAATAATAATGATAATAATAATAATAATAATGATAATAACAACACTCATAATAATGACAACTTCTCTTTTACTTTGAAATGTATGGGTGTAATTTCCTTCTTCTGTTTTTCCTCCATTGCAGCGCTCACGTAACATGGTTAACCCACACGTCTTGAGCTCCTGGGTGTTCTTTTGGGGAATTAATAGGGGTTCATCAAAGATCTGAAATCGTACGCAAATGGTAGCCTAATAACTAGACTGGTAACGCTTCAGCCAGATCCTTTGAAGAGGTTCTCTTAAATTTTGCTTTCAAATTTTTGGAGGTAAAAAAATCATTAACTTTGTTTATATTTTTTAACACTGTTCAACTGGACATTTTTTCCTTTTTAAGTTTTATTGTTTTTTTTTGTTTTGTTTTGTTTTTTTTTTGCTTTGTTTATTTACCTTCACAAAGGTCATCATGCCATTAGTTTAAATAGTACCTTTGAGGTTAACCAAACTGTACATACAAAGGAGTGTCCCTCGCGGCCCTTCTGCCACCCGAATCGAGAGTCCACTTTCTCTCAAAGGTGTCCTGTCCTGACGTTTCCATCACTTGCATCGCTTGCTCAATCTCTTCTTACCGTAAAAAGATAAATAAAAAGAGAAATGGGGAATAACAATGAATGATAAAATGATAATCATGATGATGATGACAATAATAATAATAATAATAATAATAATAATAATAGTAATAATTATAATAGTAATAGTAATAATAATAATAATAATAATAATAATAACACTAGTAATAAGTGATTATTATATTATAATGAAAATGATAAAAGCAAAAATATCATGTTCCAGCTCTTGCCACTGAGCAATATCACGTTTCTTTTAGCATCACATTGCTGGAGCCAAAAAATCTTTTAAATCACAGCCCAATGCTATGCAGGTCTGGGACTCTGCAAATAGCTATCAAATCATGGCTGCCCTGATTAGAATCAATTGCATGGCTGATGACATTCATTAAGACCCAAAAAAGATCCGTTTTTTTTTTTGCCGTTGTTTTTTCTGTTGCAGAGAAAACGCACACCCCGCTGGGTTTACTCTGGTGAGTGGCCTATGAACTCCGGGACTCAGTGGTGATGTCTCCGTTGCGTGTGTCTGTGGACGCATCTGAGATGGATCCTGCCTCTGACGACGACATGATTTGGGACGTGTCTCCATTGGTCGTGGCCGAGCTGTTCCCAGATGAAGTTTTGCGTTGCTTGGGTTGGAATTCTGTGATGATGACGGTCACATTGTTCACGGTGACAGCATTGTGTTGGGCTGTACTTCTGTCGACATTCTTCAATCTTGGTCTGGAACCCAAGGAGGACATATGTTAACAGAGAAAAATGAGAGTATTTCCTTTCTAGTAAGCCTTGCCTATAAATTAATTTCTGTGATATTAATCTCGTTTATCAATCAAGTCAATTTTCTCATTAAAAAAAACAACAAAAAAACATGTGCCACACTTTATTCTGACATAATCAATGTATCATCAGTGTCCATATTCTGTTTCCACCAACTTGTCCTCTCCAATTGCATATCTGGTTTCTTTTTCAAACCCATTTCCAACCCGTACAAAACCAAGCAATCAGAATAAACGATGGCACATCCATCATCCATCACCAGCATACTGACCTGCCTTTTTGTAAGTTGCGCCCCTCACCCTTCCGTTCTCTGTCCTTCCGCTCCGACTTCTTGACCTTAGGAGGAACCACCTGAGCCACCTGTGCTGCTACCAGTTCTGCATTTAGCCGAGGCTTTCTTCATTGGAGAAAGAAGATTGAGAGACTGGGTTAATAAAATTATAAATGTCATTAAAATATCTGTATTTGTATTACTATCATTCCTGTGGATAAAATCAGAAGACAACGTGGAATGAAAGATGAAAGTGTGGGTAATAGGAATGAAAAAAAGAAAAAAAAGAAATGAAAAGTTCAACAAATGAGAAGAGAGAGAGAGGAGACAGAAGTGAGAAAAAGAGAGAAGTAACCAAGACATAATACACACCTAATAAGGAATAAAGAAAAAAAAAGGAGAGCCACAAGCAAGAACCCAAGGCCAGTTAGTTACCTTGTGGAGGTGCCCTTCCGGACATCGCACATGAGGCATTTGAAGGCCTCCGGAGAGTTTCTGTAGGTGCACACGCTGCAATCCCACATATTCTCCTCCTTGTTAGCCCTCTTCACCCTCCTGAAAAGTAGGAATCGTTGTAAAGACTAAGCACCTACTTGGTTGTTTTCATAGAAACTGGGAGACATGCAAACCAGCTTCCATGTCATCTGTTCCATCTGTAAATTTAAGTATCATGCTAAAATTACTGAAACATTTCTTCTTCTTTTTTTTTATACTAAATTCCACTTCTCAAAGGTCTCCCATTTGTCCTCAACTAAAGAATCCCTATCAAAAATTATGGTTAATGTAACAAGAGTTCACCATAGATTACAACCAATATCATCCTTTTATACCTGATACTAATTACAAGGACTTGACAACAGGAAACAGAAACAGTGTCTACTTGGTGGCATTTAGAGAATCAACTGGTACAATAATATCTGCATATAATTATCTTTATCATATCTTTTATCTTACTATAACATATTTGGTGGGGGGAGGGATGGGAAAAATAGGGATATCATACTTAGTCTGAGAGAGCTATATTTTTTCTACGATACCAATTCCTGGATATGCTACTGTGAACACTTCATGTATAAGAAAAAAGAAAAAAAAAAATCTAACCAGCAAAAAAGGAAAAGAAAATACAGAAAATATGGGAGGGGAAAAAATACTGGTGTCCTTAGAAACCAAAAGGGTGAGTGGTTGTTGTTGTTGGCTATTACTTCAAGAAAGAGCTGCTGGCCAAGACAAGGAAAAAGAGCATGTATATAAAGGCAGAGAATTTCAAACAGAGTCAAGTACTGAAGTCAAAGCTACAGAAAATAATGAATCAGAATCCCCTTATTATGATCTCACTTTGAAGGGTTCCAATGCTCATGTCTTCTACTTGACATCCTCTCTTAAATCTTCTCTCCTCCAATATATTCACAGCTTCTTTGTTTATCTCTTCTAAAAGACAATGAAGAAAAAAAACAGGTTAATCAGAATAATGTTTCTAATACATGAGTGACAAATAAAAACAAGGAGAAAGTAATTCAATGACACAGTCTGACACTGCTTAGCCCTGATACTGCTTGGCTAAGGATAGCAACACTATCATTTCTACTGTAGTACTATCCAGCAAAGGATAGACACATTCCAAACACTCAAATCCCAGAATTTTCACAGAAACCTGTCTCCAGAAACTTGTTATCCACCATTTCATGAAATCCAAAGTATATCTTCCATTGAATAATAAGTTTTTAAATCATCTGCTATTTCAAT